AGTTTATTGATATTGCATATATTATATTGTTGTGCAACCTGCTCTTCCATAATGTTTTTCTATAATATTTTTCTTCTTCCTTGTATGAAGCTGTATATATTCATGAAATATGCAGTTCCCATTCTACCCCAGTCTCTTGCGATCATCATTCTACTTTTTTGTCTCTATGCATTTGTTGACCCTGGGAACCTCAGTACAGGAAATTCTACCATGGCTGTTCTTTGTGTGTGTGAGAGAGGGTGGGAGGGCAGGGGTGAGTGAGAGAGGGAAAGTGGGGATAGGGGAGAAGAGTGAGGGGTCATGTGTGCCAGTCTTGGCATTTGATCTTAGGGACTTTCCTCAAGGCTAGCATGCTACCACTTCAACAACAACTCTACATGTATCTTTTTTAGTAGTTAATTGGAGGTAAGAGTCTCAGAGACTCTGGTACCCAGACCGCCTCCAAATCACAATCCTCAAATCTCAGCCAGGAATACAGGTTTGAAGCACTGGCACGCAACTTATCCTAGCTGTCCTTTTGTGACTTGTGTTTTTTTTTTTAGCTAATTGTGTTCATGATTCATCAATGCTATAGCATGTATTAGAATTTCATTTCTTTTAAAAAATGTATCTATTATTGGATGAGTGGTTTGCTTCTGTCTTTGGTTATTGTAATTGCTATTAAATGGTTCTCCCAATACCTGTTCAAACCCCTGCTTTCTCTTTGGTTGGATACAAAGCTAGAACTGCTAAACCATATTCCTGCATAATTCTATATTTAGTTCTTGTTAGCGTCTTTGACCATTTTTCACTCCTGCCAGAAATCCACCAAATTTCATACTTTTCCACATCTCTGTCATAATTTTGGAGTTTTTATTTTTAATGTATGCATAGTACTGATGTAAACTAGGCATTTCATTGTCATTTTTTATTTGAAAGTTTCTTTTGTTACTACTAATATTGAACACCTTTTAATTAATCATTTATCTATATTACTTTGGGAAGGTCTCTTCCCCATATTAAAATCCATTTTCTTTCTTTTTTTTTTTTATT